ATACAATCCATGACAACAAACTTAAGAGGGAGCAGAGGAAAAATTCCTAATCTTCGATTTGATTTTAGAGGGGTATATCCACTTTAAAGTTAAAAATAAATATTGTATGAATAACTACACGATATATTCAAGCATAGACATTAATCAGAAACATAAAATAATAAAGTTTCCTCGATAGATAAAAATCACGAAATGACCTCTAGTTTTCACATTTTTTCGATTTATCCTCGAAATGCTACAGATTATTAGGACAAAAATTAGATAATTAATTATATTTATGCATGATCGACAACTGTCACTAAGGATTTTTTTAAATCCCTATATGTTAGACTTATTCCGCTAAAACGAATTTTTTTGAAAAAATTCAATATCTCCTGTCGCATGTCACGCGAACTTCAGGCATATATTTGTTTCACAAATTTGGGCGGAGCCAACGTTAAAACTTTTTTGGCATGAGAGCTCTTAAACAAACGCTACAAAACAAAGAAAACCAAAGAGATAGAAGTGGCCAAGTAGGTACTGTTTATGTTTTAAGTTTTTATTTCTCGCTTAATCCCATTTTTACTTTTTCTCCAACTTTCAAATCCCGTTTCCAAATTATATTCAATGATATTATAAAAGTTTCCCCGTTTTAAAAACAAGTTAGTCAAAACACTTTGTAAGTGGCTAAAACGCTTACCGCGAAAAGGCAAGAGAAATAAGAAAAAATACAATCATTTTTAAATAAAGGTTTATGGCTCGTATGCAAGACGATGATGCGTTTGAGACGCGTCATATTTGATATTTTAATTAGAAACATTACGACTTTATTTTTTTAAACTTATTATAGTTCTGTAAACTGTATTCCATAGTTCGAGGTTATGTAAATAGTGTAATTGATTGCATATTATTATTATTCTTAAAATAAATAGGCATTAGACATTGACAATTATGTAAGTCAATGCATTTTTTGTTGCAAATGACGGGAGGAACAAGCACGCACACACACACACACACACACACACACACACACACACACACACACAC